GGGAATGTGGGAGTTGGGGAATATGGGAATTGGGGAATGTGGAATTGGGGGATGTGGGAATTGGGGAATGTAGAAGTGGGGAATGTGGAATTGGGGAATGTGGAATTGGGGGATGTGGGAATTGGAGAATGTGGGAATTGGGGAATTTGGAATTGGGGAATGTGGGAATTGGGGAATGTGGGAATTGGGGAATGTGGGAATTGGGGATGTGAGAATTTGGGAACGTGGGAATTGGGGAATGTGGGAATTTAGAAATGTAGGACCTATGATTTAATACATCTCATCACTTGATACCTCAGACATAGCACATACGAGTTCTAAAGCAACATATGGTTACACAACGCACTATACATATAATATAACACATAATACTTCAACACGAAGACCTAACACACTATATTCATAACATTCCACTATACACATAACATTCCACATCGATATATCAATATATAACACAAGTTTTATTATTTCAGACATATGTGGACTACTTCACCAACATCAAAACCGCCAACTGGGTAGCTGTCGCTCTCTCAGCCTCCATCATCATACTACTCATCACCAACAATCTCCTAAAGGTTGCTATAAACTTAATAAACTAATACAAAACCTGAAAAACCCAGTTTTCAATTTGAACCACGTTTGATTCGCAGAAAAGAGTCGCGAGAATAAGCCCCTTTCCATTTCCTATAGAAATGTTGGCTGTCCTCATCGGCACTATTCTCTCGGTGCACCTGAACCTTGGGACTGATTATGGCCTTGCTACTGTTGGTCATATACCAGTCGGGTAATTTTATTTTAATATTAATATTATTAACAATATAGGCTGTTTATTTTGTCATTTGCAATATTGCAATATTATTTCAGTTAAATCACTTGAAACAAATTTGTATAATCAAATTACATATTGATCGATCGGTAAAAAAAATTGCTGAATTGTCTTGATAGAATTAACCTATAATCAATTTTGATATAATTAACCTTGATATAATTATTTTTCATTGACATGTATGCTAACCTTTAATTTTCTCAAAATAAATGAAAATTACGCCATCTTCAAAATAAACGATCTTACAAGAATAAACATCTTACACTATTGCGAATAATATGGAAATAATAACATAATCTAAACAATATAAATATTATAATATGAATATGGATATTATAGAAAATTTTTCCTCTTTCAGTTTTCCGAGTCCAACTCTCCCCTCGTTCTCGCTGATACCGCACATCCTCCTGGACAGCTTCATAATCACCATGGTCTCCTACACAATCACCATGTCCATGGCGTTGATCTTCGCGCAGAAATTAAACTACGAAGTGGACTCGAACCAAGAATTAATGGCTCAGGTAATCCTTGAGAAGATACTAATCGATTCCCGACCCACTTTCGTTTTCAAGGCGCTTCTTAATTGAACAGTTTCTTAACGGCTCATAATCGTAATAGCTGTCTGATTAGACCTCTTACGTGAATTCAACTAACACCTGACTTCAATTTTCAGGGTGCTGGAAACCTTGTTGGATCCTTCTTTTCTTGTATGCCGTTCACAGCCTCGCTGTCGAGGTCCTTGATACAGCAGACTGTTGGAGGACACACTCAACTTGCTAGTTTAATATCCTGCGGACTTTTGGTCAGCGTGTTGTTGTGGATTGGTCCTTTGTTTGAACCTCTGCCACGGGTAATTGATAATCATTTCATAAAATTCCTATTTATATTGCTGGCTTTATTGCTACTGATAAACATATTAATAAACATCTTGTTGCAAAACATTATACATCATTTTTGTTACATATACATTTTGTTATATTATACATAATTTTTGTTACATTATATATAATTTTGTTACATATACATTTTGTTATATTATACATAATTTTTATTACGTATACATGTTGTTACATTATACATAATTTTGTTACATATACATTTTGTCACATTATACATAACTTTTGTTACATTATACATAATTTTGTTACATATACATTGTGTTACATTATACATCATTTTTGCTACATATACATTGTATCACATTATACATAATCAAGTTACATAATTAAATTTCTTAATTTACACGTGTTCGAACAGTGTGTCCTAGCCAGCATCATAGTGGTGGCTCTAAACGGAATGCTAAAGAAGGTGAAAGAGTTCAAGAAATTTTGGGACCTAGACAAAATGGACGGAGTAATTTGGGCCGTAACATTTATAACCGTGATCCTACTGGACATTGAATATGGTCTTCTGGTCGGGATATTCTTCTGCATAGGCAAACTCGTCCTCTTTGCAGTTCGTCCATACACCTGCTCCCTCGGTCAAGTACCTGGCACCGAGCTGTACCTGGACAGCAAGAGATATAAAAGCGTATGGAGTAATGACAGCTTTGTTCTTACACAGTGTTAACCTTGAAAGGCTATTTGTGCGACTGATCGGGTTAAACATTGCACTTTCAGACAGTGGAGGTACCTGGTATCAAGATATTCCATTACTGTGGCAGCTTGAACTTTGCCTGCCGTCAGCAGTTTCGTGAACAGGTGTATAAGATTGCGGGACATAGACCGAGGAAGAATTTGGGACATGAAGAGTTGAAGGAAATTAAGGAGGTATTTTTTTGCATTGTGAATCCTTACTCTTTTAGCACTCTACATTCCCAGTTTTCTGCATCAAGTCAAGTCCTTAAATTTCATGTTCACAAATTGGAGGACCCATGAATCTCTACGTTGCCAAATCTCTGCGTTCTTAATTCGCTACACACCAGTTCCCACATCCTAAAATACCCACATGCTTATATTCCTATATTTCCAAATTACCACATTCCCAGATTCTCATATTTCCAAATCCCATATGTCCCAAATCCCACATACCCCGAATCCCACATATCCCAACTCCTCACATCCCCAAATCCCACATATCCCAAGTCCCACTTATCCCAAATCCCACATATCCCAAATCCCACATATCCCGAATCCCACATATCCCAACACCTCACATCCCCAAATCCTCATATATCCAACTCCTCACATCCCCAAATCCCACATATCCCAAGTCCCACTTATCCCAAATCCCACATATCCCAAATCCCACATATCCCGAATCCCACATATCCCAACTCCTCACATCCCCAAATCCCACATATCCCAAATCCCACTTATCCCAACTCCTCACATCTCCAAATCCTCACATATGCAACTCCTCACATCCCCAACTCCTCACATCCCCAAATCCTCACATCCCCAAATCCTCACATCCCCAACTCCACACATCCCCAACTCCACACATCCCCAAATCCTCTCATCCCCAACTCCACACATCCCCTAACCCTCCTCATCTGAGTACACCATATTAATTTCCTTACTGTCACAGCTGCACACCCTAGTGCTGGACTTGAGCGCCTTAACTCACATGGATCTTGCGGGAGCAACGACCCTAGGAAACCTGATCAGCGAGTACTGCGACATGAATATCGCGGTGTACGTAGCCGGCTGTTCCGGTAAGTAGAATGAACGAGCGTTTCTCGATGGTGATCAATCGGAAGCGGAAGCCTGGTTGATCGGCTGTCATGATATACGGCGACAATTCGACGCGATTTAACCGATTGCAGGTCCCGTGTACGAGATGATGAGAAAGTGCAATCTGACGGAATACGGAGGTAGCCTGTACTCGATGTTTCCTACCGTGGCCGATGCGGTGCACTTCGCGAGATGCAACGAATTGACGCATACACCGGCTTGGTACTCGTCCATGTAGGAGACACTTCGGGAATACTGATTGTAGGTGTTCATTCACGTATTTGGAGGGACTGTTAATTAAGGTGTGACCTTTTACTGCCTCTGAGTGATATATTTAATTACTTCGGTGAATGAAGCCTTGTGAATGAGGTGAGAATGTGTGTATGTGTCACTAGGTAACTAAGGTCGCCCCCCATGGAGTGTGAACTGGTCTCTGCCTTCTGGAGATAACCGAGAATGAAGTTAGAAAAAGTCCTGTTTTTATGTTATAGTGTTTTGCTTATTTTAAATCGACACTAATTGAGTACAAACGTTTTTAAAACATTAGTAATGTACAAATGAACGTCCACATATGAGGGCCGCCTTAGACAAAAATTCTAATTATGTCAGACGTGAACCAAATGAGTAATGAATAGTTAGAATTGTGAAATGTTAAGAATTCACCACGTTACCTGGTGATAGCATTTAAAAATTAAAAATAATTATGAAAGTACTTGCGATATCTGTGATCAGATGTTGGTCAGTGCTACCAATGCTGTCAATTAAGAGTCTCGATCGTTAAGTGAGATTGAATATCTCGAACGATTCAAAGAACTCGGATATTTGTATATAAGAAATCTTACGAAATTGTATATTTGTACAAATTTGTATTCTTATGGAAAAGTGTGAATCTGAGAAAACTGTTTAACCTCGCATATAAAGTTTCATGACTTTAATGGAATAATTGTTTTGCTCAATATCAATATTTTCATAACGAATCATTCTTGGCGAGACACTTCGTCCTGACGTAATTTCGAATTCCATGCATGCAAGAGCGCGTGTCGATCACATTGTTAAACACTGCCACGAAACACGAGTGTCTAACCTAGTTGCATGTGGCTGCAATGTTAGAAAACGCGTTTTCTAAACAATGACGACAGAGCATTGAAAAACGTTTGTGGACTGTAATCGATGCGTTTTGTTCGAGTTGCAACATTGTTTTATGAGTAAGAAATGAAGCACAAATAATAATGGAAAATTTTATTGAAAAATTTCGTGTTGTAATATTTGTTACATTATGTTGAATAAAATGTAAATTGTAATATACAGAGCATGTCTCTTTGTTTCTTTTTTTACATTTACAACATTCGTAAAACACTAAAAACAATTAAAAAACAATCATATAAACTTAACGAGGAAATAACTTAACAAAGAAATTTGTTAGTACATTTATTTTTGCACAATTTAAATTTTAAATTCTACCCGCGCAGTTATATTTCGCGCCACAGTGAAAGTGACACGTGACAGTAAAGAGTGCTTGCGCCTGCGCTAGCTACGTCAACATTTCATGTATGATTTGTATCTGAATTAAAATTTGTTTGTCGTTAGTTAACAAATTGATATTATTTACAATGAGTTCGTGGATACAATATATTAAATCCATTCCAACGCATATGGTAAGTACGGAGAATAAATTTAAGTTATTTTCTTTTAACAGTACGTGTACATAGATTTTATTAGGTTATGTTTTACAATACAACAGGTGTTACTATACAATTGTTTGAATTGTTATTTAATGTCTAATAGGAAATATCCTCTTTTGCAGGACTATGATGGGCAAGCTAGAGCAGAAAAGTTATCAAGAGTTATTATAACATTATTTGGGGTAAATTTGTGCATTTCAAGTGTTTATAATTCATTCAAGTTTGTAGAAAACTTTCCATATGACTGATTTGCACTTGTAGGTTGTTGGATTAATATGGGGATATGTTATTCAGCAATTTTCTCAAACATTTTACATACTTGGAGCTGGATTCGTATTAGCCGTCCTAATCACTGTACCCCCATGGCCCATGTATCGTCGTAAACCTTTGGAGTGGCAAAAACCTCAGGCTGAAGTCACGCTTAAACAAAAGAAAAAGAAATAGGTGGCTGCTGTTTATGATTACTGATATTTTTTAAACTGTTAACTCATTAAAGGAGTACATTGTGTTAATTTGGTATTAAAAATCATATGTTTATGACAGAACTTAGAAACCTATTTATTGTAACAAAAATAGAGTGAGCTATTTGTAATGATTGCTGATACATTAATTTAAAAATTATTATCAATAATAGTAAATATTAAATGTATTTATATAAATGTATAAATAAATTACAAGACTTTTGTATGACTCAAATTTTAAATCAGTATTAAATGTACCACAGTAATAACAGTAAAAAATAGCAAAGTAAAACGGATAGGAAAGAACACTAACATTTCGTAATAGCTACTGGTTGATTTTCTTACGAGATTTCAATACTCTCGTAACATGTCGTTGCCCTTGAGACATTTTACTTGAATCTTGTTTTGAATTCCGCGCGTGCAGATGCGCGCGTAGACCAACTCGTGACGCGTGTCGGTTTCTCTTCTAAAACTATTGCGAAGTATGAATGAACAAGCGATGCATGTCATTGAACGACTAGAAACGCGTTTTCTAGCCAGTGATGACACGTAGAGCATTGCCGACACCTAGAAGTACCTAACCATGTCTAATTAATAGTTTCTGTCTAACCGATCAGTGACACGATCTCTGGCACGAACTATGATAATTCGAATTGCACTCTCTTCCTGAAAACTGATCGAATGGAAGGGATCACTACCGAAGAAATGTTTGCAGGAAATACGCGGGACTTTAAAGGCGCGAAATTTTCTCACGTAGAAATTTTAATCGAAATTGTGTTATATAATTGGATTATTCAATTTTTATTTGCTATTGATACCTGTTTTTATACGATAATCTCTTGAATTTTAATGGAGAGATTCGTACTCGAAAGCATTAGAAAGCATGATATACGTAACGCACATGCAGTTTCCATCCGTAAAATGATAAGTTAAGAAATTGCGTAACACTTCGGTTAAGAAAGTTATATTCGAATCGACTCACTAATCATGATAATTGTTTAATTACTCGAAACGAGGATCGTTTATATACATTTTATTTGTGTCAGTATAAAAAACTTCGGTAGTAAGAAAATGAAATGCATCAAGAAGAAGAAAGACGTCGAAAAATTTACAAATGGCGGTTGCAGTACACTGTTTTATTAATAATGTTATTGTTGCTACACTTGTGTGAGTTTACTACTGTGAAAATGTATAAATTTATCACTGTATTATTACTAGATGAATTAAAGTTGTTATCACGAAAAAATTCGCGCGTAAATGTTAAATACAAACGTCCGCGCGAACAACATGTACGTATCGACTGCAATTCTGAACCGTACTGAAGTCGTTCACATTAGTAGCCGCCCGGCACCACGATCTTATTTGTTTACAATGAGCTTGTGGGTACAGTATATCAAGTCTATCCCAACACACGTTGTAAGTTTATAATTAGAAATAATTATTTAATGTGTTAACGACTTTTGACTAATATTATTATATATTTTTTCTGTGTTAAAGCTATGTATTCTTATATGTCAAACTTTAACTCTCATAATAAAGTGGAAGTACTTCTCTACTACCTTATCTATTAATACTTCTCAACTCTTTCTAATAATATTAATTATTTGTTACAAACATAGAAATGTTATAACTTAGAAAGAATTAAATGAAAGTGAATGATGCTATTTATGTTCTTTAGGATTATGATGGACAAGCACGAGCAGAGAAATTGTCAAGGATCATTGTAACACTATTTGGGGTAAAGTATTGTATTTAAAATACAGAGTACAGTAGACTATGAATGTTATTTATAATACATTAAAGTGTATAATGTGTAGGGATCCTAAGTACAAATGTATATAATTAATGTATATGATTAAGTTTATACACTTGAATATCTTGTAAGCATAGAAACATGTACAATCAAATTACTGAAACTGTTTTTTGAACTAATTGACTTATTTTTGCAGGTAGTTGGATTGATATGGGGATACATTATCCAGCAATTTTCACAAACATTCTATATACTTGGAGCTGGTTTGGTAATGGCCCTTTTGGTGACAGTACCACCATGGTCCATGTACCGTCGTAAACCTTTAGACTGGCAAACTCCTCAGGAAAAAGAGACAGTCTCATATGAGTTAAAGAAGAAAAAATAGTCTCTTCATGGTTGTAAAAAACTTGATAATGTAAAATATTAGGAAGTAAGATCTAAGTTGTAATTTAAATTGTAATTAAGATATGTTCATGATAAAGAGAAATGGATTACTGTAACTGTAACAGAGTGAACCAATATTTTTTATTTAATTAACTAACTTCAAACTCGATTGTATATTGTATCACAAACCAGTAATACTTGTACCATTAAATTGTATTTAGACTAAATGCATTAACGTGTCAAAGACATCAATAAAATGATGGCAAACCAGATCTGCTTACATAAATTTAATTGTACCCGTAACAATGTTGTTTACCGTTCGAAAGCAAACTGTATTGCGAAACACTGCGTGTATGGAGATCAATGTGTACGATCTCACCTGTACAAGCGTATAAAATATCGTACTCAGAATTTCCCTTCCGCTTCGGAACCATGGTTATATAATCGTACCAGTAACAGGAAGGAGTCTCGGTATCAAAGTTGACTCAACTCTTCGGTCGTTCTTTTTTTACGAATCACTTCCACGAATTCCGTATTCAATATATTGCTCATTAGCAGCGAACAATTAAACACCGGTTTATGATCATGCACCACCACATACCATGCACCGCCCATTGGATCGGTTCCAACGTTTGACTTTCATCGGACACGTTTCTCATTTTCTCTCATTGCACGCTAACCGAAGCATATTTTCCTCAAAATCGGCCTGTCGACGTGACTTTCACGGCACAGAAGAGGTAGAGGCATTTTGGAACGGTGGGGGATGATGATTGCAGCCGATCCTTACGTAAACGTCGAACGATTATAAAGTATAGTTGGCGGAAATTATGTTGTGAGGACTGAATTTGGAAGGTGCTATATATGGAGAGAAAAAGGAGAGAAGATTTGTTCGAGATTCGATGGTAAAATCAGGATGATGATCTTTGTAGGCTCCCTAATTCTTTCTTAGCTTTCTTACACTTATTGATTTCCCAATACAATAGATTGTATTCCCCACATTCCCCAATTTCCATATTCTCCAATTCCCACATTTCCTAATTGCCACATTCCCCAATTCCCACATACCCCAATTCCACATTCTCCAATTCCACATTCCCCAATTCCACATTCGCCAATTCCACATTCGCCAATTCCACATTCCCCAATTCCCACATCCCCCGATTCCCACATCCCCCAGTTCCCATATTTCCCAATTCCACATCCCTCAATTCCACATTCTCCAATTCCCACATCCCCCAATTCCACATTCTCCAATTCCACATTCTCCAATTCCACATCCCCCAATTTCACACTCT